GACCCTCAGAATATTCTTGTGCTAAATACACTTTCAGTTAATTCGTTATTGCGAAAGTTCTGCACATCACGAACAATTTCACATGTATTCATCACATTTTCATTAATTCTAAAACTTCCCGAGAGCATTACACATACATACCCTTTTAATGTTGAATTTGAATTTTGTTTGTTTATTTTGAATTTCGCGCAAAGATACTCGAGGACTATCTACGCTAGTCGTCCCTAATTTTGAACTGAAAGATTAAAGTGAAGGCAGCTAGTCAAAAGCATGCGCTTTGTACCTTCTTGATTAACAAAGTATTATTCTGAATTTTTCAGTCACCTTGAATATACACAGTTTCAGATAACAAGTGGTCAAGAATGTTGTTAAGTTGATTTCGTTCTAGTTACCTTTGTTCTTTTGTCATTCTTTTGAGGTCATACCTGTTCTATCTATGAAAATATTGGATGTAATGCTACACGTTGTATAAAAAATTAAAAATGTACAAAGTAGTGTCCTTCAATGTTAGGTTAAATGGTATCTCGAGGTTACGCCCCCCATATTTGAATACGATGACCACTAATCACTCTGAATAAATCTAACGTTACCTGTGAAGTAAATAATGTTGAATTTAAACAGTCTGGTAGAATATATTTAGTTAGTCAGCCGGAAGAAAGACAGACAACGTAGATCTAATAGAAGCGACAGTCTAGCATATAAGCAAGCACACGCAATGCGTTTGTGTCTTTAATAAAAGTTGTTCATTGTGTTTACATTGTGACCAGTCTCTTTATTCCGTTGCCGAATGGCGGTCGAGGTAGCGACATCTAGTGGGGGAGCCCTTTTCGAAAGAAGGTTTTTGAATTTGTTGTATGTGAGGAATATAATTAACCTTATGGTTTTATCTATAGAACTCAATCCGTTCGGAGTGAGCCATGCATGGCGTAGCGGTAAGCATACCGAATCATGAATCCGAGGGTCCATGGTTTGCGTTCCTTTGCTGCAAAAAATCGTGCCTTGTATTTTAAAGTCGTAGCTGCGTCATAAGAGTAACAGTCAAATCCCAATATTCGATTAGAGTATCCCAAGAGTGGGATGTTTGTATATGGTATATCCAGGTAAAACCGATTATTGGTTTCTGTTTACTGAATAACAGAAAGTCCAACAAGATATCTGGGTTTCTATAAAGACCTGAATTCAAGAAAATTCATCGGGGTCACGTTTATTTTCCATTAAAATAACATAAAAATAAGTAGGAGGGGAGGGTCTATATTATTTAAATTTTCTTATGTGTACAAAATGTTTTATTTTTATTGTAATAATTCTATATAAGCAGTATCTTAAAAGTAAATGAGTAAAAACATATTTTGTTACTAAGATAATCAGCATGCGTACAATATTCCAGAATCGAAATGGTATATTTAAGTGTTTTACACTCACAAATATCAGTCAATATCCTTTTATTCTTTGATAGATTGTTTAGGCAGAGTATTCATGATGAAACTTAGTTGAATGGACGGAAACTTCCTGTTGTAGAAACATAAGTGTAGAGGATGACGTTTCTTAAGTCTTCCGCCTTTCGACCTGAAGTATTGTGTGAGTATTGCTACATGATATCGTCATGTAATTTGTAGAAAGGTTGTAAGTGTAAAACACTTAAATATAACATTCCGATTTCGATACCTCACTTCTATAAAGGCTTGGTTTGGTCTGAACTTTCATTGGTGGTAGTGTCCAGGGTCACCGATGAGGAGGGGAATTCTCCGAAACTAGTCTGGCTCCAGACATACCCCAAATGAAAGAATAGACCATTCCGAGCTTTTACTTGTTGTTAAACAAATGTTTAAACAACTTTATTCAATATTCCAGAATGCTTTTCTCTAACTGTATTCCGTGTTCGTCATTTAGAGCACAGCCTGTATTACATTGAAATGTATTGCCACACGAAATTTTTATCAGTATAAACAAAAATTATCAATTAGTTAATTATTTAACAATATTTTATTTAAGCTTTTTACTTTAATGTATGGATTATATTTCTGTCATAATCTATGTTCAAAGTGTTAAAGCATACATAATATAAATATTAATGACCGTTAATGCGCTTATAGAAGAGTCAGACTGGTGATCAGCCAATCAGCAGCAATTGAGAGAACTGAGTGGGTTAGATCGGGGTGAAATCCTAAATATGTCACCCACAATGAGTTGATGGCTTCCCTTTGAGTGTCACTTGGGAAATGATGAATATCGTTTGGAATTATTCAAATAGATACCCATGGAAAAAAAGAGCAAAATTCTGGAATATGTAAAATAATTTTATTGTTAGATATATATATATATATCATAAAATTAGCTTAAAGATGAAAGTCAAGTTTATTTGTGAAAAAAAGGAATATAACACTGGTTCACATGTACTGATCAATTTCCTCCGTTATCTCCAATTGCTTCTATAGCATACTCTAAGATGAGTTCGTACCCGAAAATAAATCCTGTTAGAACACCGGCATATGGCACCTGAGCTGTATGCTACGTTTGGTCTGGTTAGCTTGTGAGTATTAGCATGAATACAGTTTTAATCATGAAGCTCCAGGAATCTCTGAAAAAAAGCCAGGAACATAAAATTTGATTCTAGATTCGGGTTTAGCAACTCCGAAAAACGTAATCCTGAACTCCTATAATAAAAGAGTGGCCTTCTGAGCGAGTTTGAATCACCTTTGGTACACCCTTGATAGAA